GAAGCTATAACAGGTTGTCAATATCTAGAAAATAAAATGGTAAAACTAGTGCCACCTGGAAAAATTGCCTGCCTTCAAATAGTTTTTAAACATTTTATAATCCAGATAATTTATGAATAAGAAATGTGTGTCTATTTCAGACTTTGTGGTAAGCATTTTACAGATACTTTTAACACCCACAGTTCCCTTAAAGTAGAGCCTGTTGTCATCATTCCCACCTTCCCGGTGAAGAAACGGGGGCTAGTCACTCACCCAGGTTGCGGCGGCACAAGCAGCCATCTAGGGTTTAGGCCTAACCGGTGTGGCTCAGTGTCTGAGCATCAGCCTCTGAACCAGAGGGTCACCAGAGGTCACAGTTCAGTTCTCTTTCTTTCTCCCTCTCTGAAATCAATAAAAGTATATCTATTTTTTAAAAAGTATTTTGAGGGAAACCTAACTTGTCCATGGTCCCAAAAGGTAGCCTACAAATTATAGGACCAGCTCTTATTAAGATACAGGTATGTTAAAACACGCCTTTTTCTATTTCAGGATATCAGAATTGGTCTTTAGTGCCAAGTTTTTGAAAAGTACAAAAAAGACCTCCTAGTTAACTAAAACCTGAGGAATCAGATTCTGCAGACAGGTCTGGCGTGGTGGTGGCAGTAGAGGCGGAGGCATTGCCGCGGGACTGCCAGACCTTCACCCAGGCAGGCTGAGACCTAGCAGAGGAAACGGGAGGAAGGAAGAAGCATTATCTGAAAAAATAGGCATTTCCCAGAACTGATCGAAAGGGCTCACAAAGTCTCTGAACAGATTCAGAATGTAAAAGTTCTAAAAAGTATAAGGAAAAAACAGATGTACTTACAAAGAAAGTATAGTCAGACATCAGTCTTATCAGTAACCCCAGAAGCGAGGTGACAAATGGAATAACCTGGAATTTTATATCCTATCCAGCCAAATGTCATTAAAATGTGAACATAAAGATATTTTCAGGCATATAAAGACTCAGAGTTTACCAAACACATGTTTTCTCGAAAAACTATGAAGAAAAATTATAAGCAACTGGAATACAAGAAAAATGAATAAAATTTAGTAAAATGTGGCAGAAGTTCTGAGTATTGAACAAATTTTTTAAATATTTGGGGGAGTGAAAGCGTGCTAAGCCTTCTTACCTTTTTTGGGAAGAAGAGGGACATTGGCTAACACTAGACACAGCTAAATACGCAGAGAGAATGGGGGAAGGGACAAAACCAGGGCAGTTGAGAAGTGAAACCTATTAGAAAAGGCAAAGGAAAACAAGGAACAGCAGCAAACATCAGTAATCACAATAAAAACAGATTAAATTTACTGTTACTAAATGATCCTTTTAGATTGTTAGAAAGAATGTTGGCTACAACTGTTTACAGAGGCACCTAAAACAAAATGGCATAGGAAGTTGAAAGTTAGAAAAAGTGAACCATAAACAAAGAGTGTTACCCAAAAACGCTGGCAGAGCAAAGTCAGAAAAAGGATTTAGGACAAAGCATTAAAAGGAACAGAACAGCCGAAACCGGTTTGGCTCAGTGGATAGAGCGTCGGCCTGCGGACTGACAGGTCCCAGGTTCGATTCCGGTCAAGGGCATATACCTTGGTTGCGGGCACATCCCCAGTAGGGGGTGTGCAAGAGGCAGCTGATCGATGATTCTCTCTCATCGTTTCTAACTCTATCCCTCTCTCTTCCTCTCTGTAAAAAATAAATAAAATATATTAAAAAAAAAAAAAAAAAAAAAAAAAAGGACAGAACAATTCATAGAGAAGAAAACAATCATGAGGTGCCTGGTATTGAGCCTCATACGCATCTCAGACTCACTGGTCAAGACCAAAACAGTTAAAGCTAAAAGGGTTGGACCAAAATGAGTTTTCAAAGCTTAGCCAAATATATATAATAAAAAGAAAATTTTTTTGCTCTCCACACATTTTAAACAAATAGAACATGTACAAAAACTGATTTTGTGCCAGGTGACAAAGACTCAGCAAATTCCTTCACACTCCTTTCCCACCAAAATGCAAAATGGAAAATTAAAAATATTTAGAACTGTGATGATAAATGCAGTATAGAGCAGACCCGAGAGTTGTAAACTAATTGGCTTTATAGAGAAATTGATGTGTGTGTGTGTGTGTGTGTCAAAAATACAAAGAACAGCAGCATGAATAACAGATAAAGTTCACTATATGAGAAGTACTAAGGTACCTAGAACTTAGAAAAATAAAGTAAATCCACATAATATAAGAATAAAAGAAAATGTATAAGAAACTTAAAAAGAAGTAGTCAAGAAGGTAAAATTTGGTTCCTTGAAAAGGATTTAAAAATAAGATTTGGCACCTGTGGCTTTTTAGCAAAAGTAACATCAGAAAGCTATTATTGTTTTGAAGGTTTTTTACGTTGTATGAGAATCCCAAATTGGCTCAAGAAGAATAAAAAAAAAAAAAAGACCAATCACCATACAAGTTAAAATAGTATTAAAAGATTCTGTGTCCCAAAAGTAGACACTAAGCCCAGGCTGTTGTGTGGAGAGTTTGATCTACTCTTCTAGAAACACTTCCTGTCACAGAAAGCATGTCAGTCATAGGAGATGATGAAAAACCTCCCACTGTAATGTATACAGCCAGCACAGGCCTGATCTAAGACTAGACCAGCACCAAAACAAAAATATAGTTCAGTGTCACAAACACAGATGTAAACCAAGCAAAGCCATTCACCCTCACAATAGTGATAATCCAGCACTGGGAAAAACTGCCAGCATAATTCACTACTTGAGGTCATGTACAGTAAAGGTATTTAAAAAGCCACCCATGCAATCCTATCAATGTATGCCCCAAAAACCTTCAGTAAAATGTGGTACCCATTTGATTTATATCTACAATTATGAATAGAATTTTCTTAAATGATAAAAGGCTGGCCGAAACCAGTTTGGCTCAGTGGATAGAGCGTCAGCCTGCGGACTGAAAGGTCCCACGTTCGATTCCAGTCAAGGGCATGTACCTTGGTTGCAGGCACACATCCCCAGTAGGGGGTGTGCAAGAGGCAGCTGATCGATGATTCTCTCATAGATGTTTCTAACCCTCTCTCTTCCTCTCTGTAAAAGATTAATAAAATATATTTTAAAAAATGAAAAAGGCTAATCCTAGTTAACAATGAAATATGAAAAGCATTTCCATCAAGGTCAGAAATGAGAGGTGGGCCGAAACCGGTTTGGCTCAGTGGTAGAGCGTCGGTCTGCGGACTGAAGGGTCCCAGGTTCAATTCCGGTCAAAGGCATGTACATTGGTTGCGGGCACATTCCTGGTAGGGGGTGTATAAGAGGCAGCTGGTCGATGTTTCTCTCTCATCGACGTTTCTAGCTAGCTATCTCCCTTCCTCTCTGTAAAAAAAAAAAAAATCAAAATATATCAAAAAAAAAAAAAGAAATGAGAGGTGAATGCCTGCTATTAAACACTACCTCTCAGCATTGTACCAAAGGTTTTCATTAATGCAGTAAGATAGAAAACCATCCAGATGTTCAATAGATAATGGGTTAAATATGCCTATCTGGTAATGAACTAGCAACAGGTAAAAGAAATGAGAGCTCAAAAACATTTCTAAACAAAATTGCAAGACATTCAATAAATACCTTTTGTGCTATTATATAAACATATATTTTTCTAAGCATTCCATATGTATATGACCAATTTTATTAGTGGTCTCTTAATTTATCAAAAAGAAATCAGTATTTGTGTATTTAAATTAATAAAGCACCTATTTTAAGAGCTATGTAGCTATAAAAATTGTAGGGATTGCATGTAATAATTACGATACATGCACACAGATGGAGAAATATGCTAGGACTTTGACAATAAAAAGTAAAGTGCACGCCTGACTGTGGAATTAGAATGCTCTGCTCTGCAGACAGAAGGCTGGCAGGGAGGACGGGCTCAGGTGACAGCCATGGAAGCCCGCTTCCTGCGTCCGCTTGCACCTGCCCTGTTGGCTGCTCAGCTTAATTGTCCCGTCTCTTGGCAGGAGCAGATCAGGCCTCTATAACCGCCAGGAATCACATCCAGCTGGTGAAGTCGCAGGTGCAGGAAGTGCGCCAGCTCTCCCAGAAAGCAGAAACCAAGTTGGCAGAAGCACAGACGGAAGAGCTCCGTCAGAAAACACAGGAGGCGGATGACCGGGCTGAGCCGGAGCAGGAGGCCTACCTGCGTGAGGATTGAGGGCCGGAGCCGCCGCCGCCCACTCTGCCCACTCAGCCCGGGGCTGGCACAGCTCTCTCTGCAGAGAGAGGAGGCACAGGCCCGCCCTGGCCCGTCAGGCCAGAGGCATTTGTGAGCTGTGAGTGCCTGACCCCTGACCTCTGGTCTCAGGCTCCTACTGGACCTGGTTCTTAGTCTGGGGCCCCACAGCCTGTTTACCATTGTACCCCACTCAGCACAGCTGCCCTCTCCCCCACCCACCATTGTTCTACTTCCCGCCCAGAGCATCTCACCCACCTGGCCAGACAGTCCTTTTCTGTCACGCCCACGAGTTCAGTAGCTGTTTTAACCTTATTTCCAACCTTATTCAAATAGGAGTTAGTATTTGCTCCCTCCATAGGGCTGTGAGTTTTGGGGGAGAGGGGAGCCTGTCCTCTTTGTAAGATTTCTTTTTAAGTGTTTCTGAGGCCTTCTCTGACCTGGCCCCTGGCCCAGGAAGGACAGCCCAGGCCCAGCAGCCAGCAGTCCTTCATTATTCTTAAGGGACTGAATGCAGAGTGTTTACCTGGTACTTTCAACAGGACTTACTCCACACCTGCTTCCTGTGTCCTCCTTTCCTTCGAGTTTCTGTATTGTATCTGAAGGAGAATAATTTTTTTTCCATTTAAAAATGAAAATGTGTTATCTTCTGGGGTCCTTTGCAGCCTCCCCCCCCCCCAGCAGAATGCTAAGCGGCTCCAGAAACTCCCCCTCCCCCATTTGCTTTGCTTTGGGAACCAACCATTCAACACGTGTCGGTCCAAATTAGCCAGGTTTCAGAGTTTTTAATCAAAGTTAGAAAAGTGTGGGAGGGGGTTAAAAAACAAAGCGTTTCCTGTAGACCATCCTGGGTCAAGTTTCAAGTTTCTCAATTTCTATGAAAGGAAAACGTACACCCAGTCCGTTCAGCCCGCCCCTCAGAGCCGGGACAAGGGGCCGGCAGCGCACATGAGCCTCTCGTCTGTGACCAGTGCCCACATGGTCCACATCTCCAGGGGGCTGAGCCGGTGCACCAGGAGGAGCCCTCTGAACAGGCAGGGGTCCAGGGGGTTCAGGGGCTGCCGGATTCCAAAGGTCTTGAAGCCAGCGTGGTGCAGGGGGCTCAGCCCCAGCCGCCGCAGGCACATGCCCACAAAGACGTCATCGATGGGGAAGAGCTCGGCCGCCTCCACGGCTGCGCGGAGGCGCCGCACGGTGGCCCTGGACATGACGTACCCCCCGCCCCCCGCGTAGGGCGGGTAGTGGCGGGCCCTGTACATGGAGGGCGGGATGAAGTACTTGACCTTGGTGTTCCTGTTGGGCAGAGCCTGGCGGATGACATCTCCCACCAAGAGGTCCTGGGCTGGGTCCCAGCCGTCCAGGAACTCCAGGACGTTGGGCACGTGGACAAAGACGTCGTCGTCGCCCTTTAGCAGGAAGTGGGCCTGGGGACAGGCGGCCGCCACCCAGCGCTGCAGGTGCAGCTCCTTGAGCGTCAGGTTGAAGAAGTCCTCCGTGAAGTCCCACTGGAGGATGTCGTCAAACTCCCGGCTCTCGTAGGCCAGCAGCTGGGCGGGCGGTGCGGGCCCTGCCACCCCGAGGAGGAACACCAGCTTCAGCCGCCGGCCCTGCGCCCAGGCGCCCCCCCGGCCCCACGTGCTGCGGATGGCCGCGCGCCGCTCCACGTGGCCAGGCTGCGACTTGATGGCCAGCAGCAGAAAGACGTCCTCGGCACAGCCGGACGGCTCCAGCAGAATGGAGAAGTTGCGGCAGTGGCGATAGGTCAGGAAGAGACGGTGCCGGCCAGGCAGGGACAGGGAGGCGTTGGCCACAGTGCGGTTGGGTGGGCAGTGGCTCCGGCGGGGCCCCGGGGGAGCCCAGAAGGGCTGGCGGGCTGCGGGGACCCCTGCCGGCTTGGCCTCCTTCTTCAGGAAGAGCAGGCAGCTGAGCAGCAGCACAGCCAGGCTGTACAGGACCAGCCAGCCCAGCCTGCGGAACATGGCAGGGCCTGCAGGGAGAGAGCCCGTGAGCCGGCCGGCCCAGCCTCAGCCTCCACCTTCTCCCTGGTCCCACCATCAGGTTACCCCAACCCTGCTGGCCTCGGGGACAGCTGTTATTTAATCTTTCTGAGTCCCCCGCCTCCCCAGGACAGGCGGCTCACCTGCTATGCCAGCCCCTGCCTGCCTCCGTCAGCGGAGGGCTCTGAGGGCGCATTTTCCGTGTTTGCCAGGAAACTCCAGGACCTCACATGCACAGAGCTAGTTTGGCTTCGGGTTAAAATCGTTCTAAGGACCAAACATGACAATCTGGGCTCAAACCATTTCCAAGAGTCTGCTCTGCGGGTGGCAGGCCCTGTGTTGGTGTCCCAGCCACAGCAGAGCAGCAGATGGAGCCACCATTGAACACCCCCTCAATCTGCTGAGACGCCTGGGCTCCCGGGTAGTCAAACCAGGTTTTAGGGACAAAACCAGGCACAGGAAGAGCATGGAAGCAAGTAGGAAGCTGGAGACTGGTGCCAGGCTCGTAGCCCTTCCAGATCTGGTTGGCTCGGGTTCCCAGCGATGCAAAAAGGCCAAGAAATGCTAACCCACAGAGGCACGGCCCGAGGTCCAGAGTAGCAGAGCCAGCCCTCAAAGCCCTCCCTCCGCCACTCCTGCCCCTTTTCCTGGCCCGACAGGCCTCCTGGTCTACCCACGTTAGCCTCAGCCTACTGTCCCTGCCGCTGCCACCCCACAGAAGCATCTCTTCCGGCTGCTAGGCAGGCTGACAGGCAAGGCAGGCAGGGTCCGAGACCCTGAAAACCAGTATGAACAGACAGGAGACGTGACACAGTGTCATGGGAGCCAGGGGCCGGGAAGGCTGTTGAAATTACCGATTTGGGAAAGCCCACCTTGGTAAAGGGCATTTGAGCAAGAACTGGATGGAGTAGCATCCAAACCCCATAGAGACCTGGAGAGCGCGCACCGGGCAGAGGAGCCCTGAGGCAGGAGGGCAGCGGCTGGATGTGTGTGTGTGGGGGGGGGGGGGGCAGAGGTGAGGGAGGCGGCTGCGGAGGCCGCAGTGTAAGGGCTGCGTGAGGGCTCCGCCTTCCTGAGGGCACCCGAGGACCCACGGAGGCGGTAAAAGGATTGACAAGGTGTGAAGTTCACTGCAACTGCCGCTGGATAATGGATCCGGGAAGAACGAGTGGAAACAGGAGACCAGATGGAAACTCATTAGTGGGACAGGACGCAGCCGTGGCCAGGGCGGGTGAGGCTACGGGACGGGAGGGCTGGACGGGTTTCAGGTGGGGAAATGGGTTTCAGGTGGGACATGGGTCTCAGATGCAGCAGGCAGGTTGAGTGAGGGGCCGGGCGAGGAGTGGTGCCAATTACGGAGCGGCTGCAAAGCAAGCAAGCGGCTTGGTTTGTCCTGCGAGTCTCAGTAGCCAGGGCTGGACTGCGCGGGGGACCTATGGCCCTCTGCCCCCCTGCACCGGCCAAACCCTCGGTGGCCTCCACTGCTCAGCAACAAGCCAACAAGCCCGCCCCGCAGTGACCGGCAGCTTCTGCTCCCCCCCCCCCCCCAAACACACACACCTGGGCACCCCTCGCCCGAGCTGCCGGCTGAGGCCCCCCTCCCACCGAAAACTCCCCGGCCTGCGAGTGCGCGACCCCCTCTCGGCGGGTGCTGGCCCCGGGGTTTGTGGTTGTGTCTGGGATGACAGCTAACCGGACGCGCCACGGCGGGACAGAGCCCAGCTGGTTCGTTCCTCCCCGCGCGTCTCCGCAGGGCTGCTGCGGGGCCGCCGAGCACGGACCGAGCCCGCGGGGACACCCCGGGCTGAGCGGAGAGCGGCGGCGCCCTCGGCGCACAGGCACCTGCCCCGCAGCGGGGCTCCGGGCGCCCCGGCCGCACGCCCCGCCCCGCACGGACCTACCTGAGCCGCCGGCCGGTCCGGCGCCGGCGAGGTCAGCGAGCAGCCCGCGCCGCGGAGTGGGAGCGGGACCGGGACCGGCGCATCAGCCGCGCGCACCTCGCTCCGCTCGGGCGGTGGGCGGGCCCGGCCCGGGTGCTTTTGTATTGATCACGCCCACTAGGGCGGGGCTTAAGGGAGGGCCCCGCCCACCGGGGGGTCTCCAGGGCCCAGGCGCCCCTGGGGGCGGGAGAGGCCGCCCCGCTCCCGCTCCCGCAGCGCCCGGCGCCCCGACGCGCGGCCACACAGACGCGGGGCTGCGGTGCCAGAAGCTCCTTTAATGCGGCTACACGACGACGAGGGTCCGCAGCGCCTCCTCGGCCGAGCGGCACTGGATGATCTGGATCTGCACCTCCACCGACAGCGGCTCGGGGCGGTAGTCGTTCTCCAGGCCTGAGGACGAGGCGGGCACGGGTCCGCGGGCGCCAGGGCCGGGCCCCTCGCGGCCCCAAACGCGAACCGCCCCCGGCGCGGCCCCCGGAGCCCGGCTCGGGCTCAGACTCCCAACCAGGAACTCGAGGAAGTCGCGCTTCCCTTGAGAAGACACTGACAAGACCGGCCATTCGGACACTTTCTCTTAAAGTTACAGTGAATGCGGTGAACCTGGCGCCTCTGGGACCGCTGGGAGCGTTCTGACGAAGCTGTAACACCTGAGCTGTCACACAGACAGGACTTGGGAGCGTCTACCTGCCGCCATGCACTCAGGACTGCTCTCCTGGCAGGGGCGGGGACAGTCAAGAACGGGCTGTTTCTGAAGTTGTGTGAAATGCCACACTCGGAAGATCTGCATAACTCAGTGGACCAGTTTTCACAAAAACCCAGGGTCTGGTGTTGGGGTCTGTGTGTGGGCAAGAGCCGCGCAGCATGCAGGGGCGCCCACAGGTCTTACTGCCCTTGGTAGTGAAGGCATTCCTTCCCCACCCCGCCTTCACCTTGAACTTAACCCTCACAAACCTATGGCGGGCACCCTGGGTGTCATATCAGAGAGGGATGTCTGCAACCGACAGAAAGCCTACACATGCTCCGCCTTTCCAGGCCCATGTCCACGTGAGGCTGGGCTTCCTCACGCACCTCCCGCCTCCCGAGGACCACAGGGCAGCCTTGGGACGCCCCTGTCTGTCTCAGCTAAGCCAGGCGGAAACGGGGTTTGCAAAAAAGTAAACAAAGATAATTTCAAGATCAACTTAACCCCACAGCTCTGTCTCCACTCACAAGCCAATAATGATATGGTCCTGAAGCCCCCAGTATAAATCCTCTTGTGCTTTTTCTCCTCCTTTCCCCCCTCCATGATGTATTTTACTTATTTTTTTCTTCAGGCTTTTTCTTTTTAAAAAAAAATATATATATTATTGATTTTTTTATAGAGAGAAAGGGAGAGAGATAGTTAGAAACATCGATCAGCTGCCTCCTGCACATCCCTCACTGGGGATGTGCCCACAACCAAGGTACATGCCCGTGACTGGAATCAAACCCAGGACCCTTCAGTTCACAGGCTGATGCTCTATCCACTGAGCCAAACCGGTTTTGGCTCATTGTGCTTTTTCAATGTTGTTTTGTGACCCTATGTCCTTTGCATTTTCATATGCACTTTAGAATCAGATTGCTGATTTCTGTTTTTTTTAAATTCCTCTAAGATCATGATTGAAATGGCATTGACTCCTCTATAGATCAATCTGAGAAATCCGACATCTTAATAATATTCAATCTCCTAGTCCAGTGGTCGGCAAACCCATTCACCAACAGAGCCAAATATCAACAGTACGATGATTGAAATTTCTTTGAAGAGCCAAATTTTTTAAACTTAAACTTCTTCTAACGCCACTTCTTCAAATAGACTCGCCCAGGCCGTGGTCTTTTGTGGAAGAGCCACACTCAAGGGGCCAAAGAGCCGCATGTGGCTCGCGGGCCGCAGTTTGCCAACCACGGTCCTGATCCATGGACAAGTGCGCTTGCGTTATACTTTTTTTAGGTGAATTTTTTCATTGGGGAAATCCACCCGCCAGGCGAGAAGGCCCTGGCTGGTAACCAGGGAGAGGCCCTTACCTGACAAGACTGGCATCTTGTTCTTGGCCTTCCTCGGCTCCGCACCTGCGAGAGGGAAATGGCTGTTGTTTACGAGCCGCCCAGCTGTGTGGGGGAGCAGAGATCCTCCTGCCCTCGTCCCCCACTGGCTCTTACCTTTCTTAGCTTTCTTATTCTTTGAATCCTGAGGGAAGAACCACCAAATAAGACGCTCGCAGAGGGGGGGATGCTGGGAAAGGGGTGGATGCAGATTCCAGCGCGTCTGTGGGCGGCTCCCCCTGCCAGGCCTCTCCCGGTCCCGGAGGCAGGGCAGGGCCTCCCAGGAAGGAGGGGCCCCACCTGTCCCACCTGCCTCCTCGCAACCGAGAAGGATCCCCTGCCTCAGACCGGGCCCCAGGGCCCTCGCCGGCCCAGCACCATTCCTGTGGGGCGGGGGGGCGGGGCGTCCCGTACCCTGAGAAACGTCAGCCTGTCGGATTCCAGGGTGCGGATCACCCCGAACTTGCACAGGGTGGACACGAGGGACTCCCCGGCTAGCAGGGGCTCCAGGACCACCAAGCCGCTGCCCAGCACCCGCAGGATGGGAGGGTCCTGGCGAAGCTCCTTGGAAAGCCCTCTCTTCTTCCTGGGCCCCTTCTGGTCCTGGGGGGAGAGGCTGGGTGAGGGCCCGGCAGGGAGGTGCCGGCGCCCACGGCCCTGCCCGGGGCCGGCGTACCTTCTTCTCCTTCTCCCCTTGGGCGGCCTTGTCTTTCCCCTTCTTGTCTCTCTCCGCTTTCTCTTTCTTCTTCTCCCCTTTTCCCTTGCCAGCCGTGGGAAAGTCGACGGGAGGGGGCACCACGGGCCAGGAGAGGATCTGGGGGACGGCAAGGCGGCCTCGCGTGAACACGGCCAGGCTGGGGCCGGCGAGGGTCTTTCCGGAAACGGGGGCTGGAGGGCCGGCCCTCCCGGGCCCCACCTTCTCCTCCACGATGGTGACTGTGGTCCCCGCCAGCAGGAAGGCCTTGAGCGGCACCAGGTCCCGGAGCGAGTGCTGCATCTCGTAGCTGCAGGGGATGACGTTAGCCCAGGGCTTGCGGACGGTGCTGAAGAGGACTGTCCTGGGGGGGAAGAGGGGGACGGGCGTTATCGGGGGCCAGGGACAAGGCTGCGGGCGCCGAAGGAGACGGCGTGGAGCGGGGCCCGGTGAGGGAGGGGAGCACTCTGCGTGGGGCTTCCCTTCAGGGGTGACTGTGCTGTGCACTCAACGTGGATGGAAGGCAACCAGGAACCAATCGGAACCTTTAAAACACTTCGGCCAGCGTGGCTCAGCGGTGGAGCATCAACCTGCGAACCGGGGGACACGGCTCCATTCCCAGTCGGGGCCCATGCCTGGCTGCAGGCTTGATCCCCAGTATGGGACAAGCAGGAGGCAGCTAGTCAATGGCTCTCTTTCATCACTGATGTTTCTCTCTCTTCCTCTCTCTGAAGTCAATAAAACATATATATATACACACACACACACACACACACATATATACATATATACACGTATAAATATAAAACATAAAGCTATGGGTCAAATACAGTAGAAGTTAAGTCCAATGAAGCAATTCAGCCCAGAGCTTGCGAACGTGTGAGGTAACTGCAGACAAATGTTAAAAGGGAAATGTAGAAATGGAGGAAAAGCGGCAATACGTGACCTTAAAGGTTACTGCTACCGACAGACAGACTCTGACAAGGAAGGTCAACTGTCCTCCCTGGTGAAGCAAATTTCGTCAGCGCTTGGACTTAAGGAGCATGCCCCCAGTACCTCATGCCCCCAGTACCTCATGCCCCCAGTACCTCATGCCCCCAGTACCTCCGCACGGAAATCCCTGCGAAGACGGTGAGGACCGCGCTCACCCGCACCGGGAAACGCCCCCTCCCAGCCCCTCCGCTGGGTGCCCGTCAGTCCCCCTCCCTGTCTGCCTTTCCAGCCCCCCTTCGCCTGGCTCCCGGCTGGCCTAGGGGCAGGGGCACTTCCGCCCCTACTTCCCAGGAGCCGCCTGGGCCCACCATTTCCCCTGGAGAAGGGCCTGCGCCGGCAGACCCACAGCCGCGCCCGCAGCTCAGGGGATGGTTTGGGTGGCGGAGTTATTTGTGGTTCTTACTTGTTTTTACGAATTTTTCCCAAAATTAGAACAGGAACCAAGTCAGCCCCTGGCCCAGCCCGGGTCCAGCCCTGTCTCCGGTCACCAGCGGGGACACAGCCCCCCACAAGCCCGTGTGCGTCCATCAGTGACAAACGGTGGGAGCTTCCGCCAATGAGAGCGGCTCCTCCTCAGAGGCCCCTCCTCAGAGGCTCCTTCTCAGAGGCCCCTCCTCAGAGGCTCCTCCTCAGAGGCCCCTCCTCAGAGGTCTCCTTCTCAGAGGCTCCTCCTCAGAGGCCCCTCCTCAGAGGTCTCCTTCTCAGAGGCTCCTCCTCAGAGGCCCCTCCTCAGAGGTCTCCTCCTCAGAGGCTCCTCCTCAGAGGCCCCTCCTCAGAGGCTCCTCCTCAGAGGCCCCTCCTCAGAGGTCCCTCCTCAGAGGCCCCTCCTCAGAGGTCTCCTTCCCAGAGGCTCCTCCTCAGAGGCTCCTCCTCAGAGGCTCCTCCTCAGAGGTCTCCTTCTCAGAGGTCTCCTCCTCAGAGGCTCCTCCTCAGAGGCTCCTCCTCAGAGGCTCCTCCTCAGAGGTCTCCTTCTCAGAGGCTCCTTCTCAGAGGCTCCTCCTCAGAGGCTCCTTCTCAGAGGCCCCTCCTCAGAGGCTCCTCCTCAGAGGCCCCTCCTCAGAGGCTCCTTCTCAGAGGCTCCTCCTCAGAGGCCCCCACCCGAGAGACAGGGGCACCCAGGTCCGAGGGGTAACAGCGGGGCCGGACAGGGCCGCCCAGCCGCCCTGGTCCGGGGTGCAGGCTTCTGGCTGAGGGCGGAGGCTCGGCTGGGAGAGGCGAACCCCGAGCGCACCCCTCATCCCTCGGGCTGTCACTGGGGGAGGGGTTGGGAGTGGGGGTGGAGGTGGAGGTGGGGGTGGGGGTAAAAGGGAGTGGGGGTGGAGGAGGGGGTAAAAGGGGGTGGGGTAGAGGGTAGAAGAGGGAGTGAGGGTAGAGAAGGGGGTAAGAGGGGGTACAGGAGGGGGTAAGAGGGAGTGGAGGAGGGGGTGAGGGTGGAGGAGGGGGTAGAGGGGTAGAGGAGGGGGTAAGAGGGGGGGGAGGAGGGGGTAGAGGGGTAGAGGAGGGGGTAAGAGGGGGGAGGGGGTAAGAGGGGGGGAGGGGGTAAGAGGGGGGGAGGAGGGGGTAGAGGGGTAGAGGAGAGGGTGGGGGGGAGGAGGGAGTAAGAGGGGGTGGAGGGGGTAAGAGGGGGGGGAGGGGGTAGAGGGGTAGAGGAGGGGGTGGGGGGAGGAGGTGGTGGGGTATAGGGGGGTCCTCACCCCGGGGACGGGCAGAGCCGGAAGTCCATCCTGGGCCGCAGCTGCGCCAGCTCCTCGGCGTCGGAGCCCAGGGAGCGGGGCAGCGAGGGTGTCCCGGCCGACACCCCCGACTCCAGCTCCAGCGACTGCGACAGGGACGAGGGCACCGACTCGGCCTCCTCCTCCGCCTCCTCGGCCGTGGGCGTGGGGGGCGCCTCCTCGGGGACCTCCTCCTCGCTGGGCGCGGGCTTGACGATCTGCGGGGACGGGCGCGGGTGGCCGGGCTGGGGGCGCGATGCCGGGGAAGGGGCCGTCCGTCCGTCCGTCCATCCCGTGCGTCCGCGCAGCCGCAGCCCTCCCGCCGGGACGCTGCCCGGGGCCGGGGGGCGGGGCCGGGCGGGGGCTTCGCCTGGAGGAGACATTGGGGCGCCCCCCCCCCATTCTCAGGACGGACCGGGGCGCACCTCAGCCAGCACCCCTTCGTACTCGCTCCCTTCGCCTTCCTCGTCCTCCACGAAGTCGTAGGTGACGTAGTAGCTGTAGGAGATGAAGGGCCCCTGCGGCCCCGGGTCCGGGTCCAGGACCGAGGAGTCCAGAACCCCCCGGATGTTCCCGATCGTCACCACGAACTGCGCCTCGCGCGCCAGGAAGTCTGCGGGGCCGGGGCGGGCAGACAGGCGGGCTGAGCCGGCTTGGGGTCCGGGCTGGGCCCCCTCGGCCCGGGGACTGGGCAGGTCTGGCGAGGCCCCTGCGGCCGGCTTTCCCGGGCGGAAGGCGGTGCCTGGGCAGGGGGTGCCCTCCTGCCGGCAGTGCCACCTTGACCTTGAGAAGGCTCTGGTGCAGCTGTGGCGAGGGCCACCAGGGGGTGATCTCAGGCCGCCAGGGCAGGGAAGCCGCCGATCAGAGCTCAGAGCGGCTTCCCATTTGGTAGGAAGCGGGGCACCCAGGAGGCCCAGCCTCCCTCCCGCGGGCCCCCAGCCCCAACCCCCCATCGGATCGGGGGGTGGGGGGGGGGTCCTGGCACAGGCCAGCGGAGCGGGACAGGCGCCGCCCTCACCGCCTTTGGGGCGGAGCCCCTGGAACTGGTGCTTCTCGCTGGAGGACACGGTGATGTCGTCCAGCACGCAGAGCCGCGCCAGGCTGTCGATGGTGAAGCCGCGGTAGTAGGGCACCAGGGCCAGCGGGTTGCCCTGCAGCACCAGCAGCCGCAGGCGCTGCAGCGTGCTCAGGCTGGCCACCATGGCCTGCAGGTCCGTCAGGTCGTTGAAGCCCAGGTCCAGAGACACCAGGTTGGGCCTGGAAGGGGAGCGGACCGGTGGGGACAGGCCTCCCTCAGCACCCCGCCAGGACAGTCAGAGGCCTGAGCCTGCCCGGCAGACCAGCCTGCCTTGGGCAGCCCTCAGACCCAAGCTAGCCCCCGTCCTCTCTCCCTCTCTCTCTCTCTCTCTCTCTCTCTCTCACACACACACACAGGGCAGCCCTCCTGGCTCTGCAGCCCCTCTCTCCGTGGTCCTGCCATCCTCACAGGTCAGAGACGGGCCTCGTCACCTCCTGCCTCTGCCTCAGGCCTATGGACACATCCTCTCTCCCAGGTTAATCATCTCCGTGTCTCCCGTGGAACCGTATGGGGTTGTGCATCTAGAAGGTTCTCTCTCTCTCTGATGTTAATCTCACTCGAGGATATTTTCCGTTGGTTTTTAGAGAGGATGGAAGGGAGGGGGGAGAGACAGAGAGAGAGAAATCCAATGTGAGAGAGACGCATCGAATGGCGGCCTCCTGCATGTGACCCAACAGGGCCGGGATGGAGCCTGCGACCGAGGTACCGAGCCCAAGGCCTGCCACCATCCACAGAGCAGACCGGCCAGGGCACCTGGAAGGTTCTGGACAAAGACTGACCAGCCGTCAGGAAAACAGAGGGAAGCCACTTTGGGAGGAGCGATGGGTGGGGGAGAGGGGCCTGGGAGGGGACACGGGAGGGCGCTTTCCAGGCCAGACGGGCAGCTGATCACAGGAAGCCTGCGGCTCCTCTGGGGCCCTGGGTGCGGAGCCGCCGGTGAGGGCGGGGGCCAGGCGGGAGGTGGTTTCCTCACCGCCAGGCAGACTAGAAAGCAAACTGATCTCGGCTCCGAGAACAGCGTGAGAGGAACACAGGGAGTCACAGCCCCGTCTCCCACGGCCATCTCCGCCCGCCTTTTATGGCCCGGCCGCCGTGGGGGAAGCACCCGCTTCACCCCGCAGCCTTTGAGCGGAACCTCTGGCGTCAGCGGAGTCACCCTGCCTTTCCCCTCCTGGCGACCGAGAGGGCGGTGCAGGCTTTTCTGAAATCTGCGCCCGGGCTCTGATACGCCTCATTTTCCATGTATCAGGCGGGGACACGGGGTTCTCTGTCCGCGGCACACTCTGAAGCCGGGCGTGCGTCTTTCCTGGGCCGGGAGGAACGAGCAGAACCGCGGCCGCTGACCTCATCGGCGGGGACGCAGGGTTTCAGCCCCTGCTCTTCACCCACCAAGAACACAAAGTCAAACCAAGAGCTCCCCGCTCGGGAAGACTCTGTCCCCCTGACCTTTGGCCCTGCCCGGACAAGTCGGCTGCCCCTGGCATCCAAGCTTCCTGCAGAGCCCAGCACAGCCCCACACGGAGAATGTTCCAGCCCCAGTGCCCACAGCGAAGGCCTGCCCTCCTCCCACCGCCTCGGTCCTTTCCTGGCCTTCTGAGTCGTGTGTGTGTGTGTGTGTGTGTGTGTGTGTGTACTTTAAAGTGAGCCAGAGAAAGAAGTGTTATGTCTGGGCCCACAGCCAACCAGGAGTCACTACAGAAAAGGGGAAAGCTGGGTCCCTTTCAGCGTCCAAACCTAATGCTCCCCCTTTCCCGCCTCCCCCCGGCCGGTACCAGTGCTGGGCGGTGATGTACACGCTCTGCAGGGGGCCCAGCAGCTTGTTGTCGCCCAGGCCCAGGTGCTGCAGGCCCGGTGGGGGACGGTCGCATAGGCACTTCATGCTGCTGATGTAGTTGCCGTAGAGCTCCAGGACCTGGGGGCGGGAAGGCGCCTGTGAGCCCAGCACCGCCGTCCGCCCGTCCTTCTGCCCCAGCACCGCCCGTCCTTCTGCCCCAGCACCGCCCTGTCCTATCTGCCAGTTCACCCATCCACCCATCCTTCTGCCCCAGCACCGCCCTGTCCTATCTGCCAGTTCACCCATCCACCCATCCTTCTGCCCCAGCACCGCCCGTCCGCCCGTCCTTCTGCCCCAGCACCGCCCGTCCGCCCATCCACTGTCCTTCCATCCCGGAAACTCCGCAGAGGGAGCACCAGTCCCTCATGCCACGTCTCCCTTCCCCCCGGACCCGCTTACGAAAGCCCGGGGAGAGGGTATTCCTGCAGCAGGCATGGGGTGCTTCTTTTCGTTTGTGAAGGAACTTTAAACTTTGGCATGGGAAGGATACTGGAGAGCGTGGGAGGGACATGCACAGCCCTTGGCCGCGTGTCTCTGTGTAACCCCCTCCCCCCCATTCATTTGACATTGTTTCCAAAGTGCTGACTCTGACATGGATCTTACAGATACACAGCATGATGTTTGTGGAAGGATCCTAGGAACTAACTTCAAAAGAAGCCAACGGTGACCTTCAGGCATTCCGGCTCCGGGAGGTTGGTGACCTCCCACCGGAGCGCCAGGATGACGCACATCAGACCCCCCTTCAGCGTGGGGATCCTGCCAGAATGGGCCGTACAGGTCTGCGTGTTGAGAACCTTTCTCCACCCCTCCCTTGATATCCGTTCTGCTTTCCCTCTCTCCTTATAAAAACCCCTGCCTGCACCGAGATGTTGAAATGGGCTTGTAATGAGAGTCCCCCATGTCTCAGGCCGCTGGTTCTTGAATAAACCTACTTTTCTCCCATCAGTCCGTGTCTTTTTTTTTTTTAATTTTAAAAACTGATTGGCCCTCGCCGGTTTGGCTCAGTGGGTAGAGCGTCGGCCTGCGGACCAAAGGGTCCCGGGTGCAGGCTCCTCCCCAGTCCAGGCCCTGGTCAGGGTTTGTCCAGGAGGCAGCCAACCCATGTCCCTCTCCCACATCGATTTCTCTCTGCCTGTTCCTCTCTCTAAAAAGGCAATGGAAAAATATCCTCGAATGAGGATAAAAAAACATAAATTGTTGGTTGGTTTTAGAGAGAGGAAGCGGGGAGGGAGAGAGAAGCATCAATTTATCGTTGCACTTATTGATGCGTTCACTGGTGCTTCCTATATGTGTTCTGACCAGGGATCAAACCCGCAGCCTTGGGGTATCCGGTTGACACTCTAACCAGCTGAGCTACCCGGCCAGGACCCCCATCTTTAATGCTTGGATTTTGGGCAGCAGGCAGCCCAGCCGGTTCAGTGTCATCTGGGAAAGCTAGGGGAGCCCTGGGCGGAAAACAGCAGTGAGTTCCTTTATTTCGCCTCTCAGGTCTCTCCTGGTGTTTTGTTGTTTTGTTTTTTTTGAGCATGGCCCTGAGCTATAGTCCGCAGTCCCTCTTGATTTAAAATTGAGACCATTTTTTGCCCAGCCAGTGTGGCTCAGTTGGTTGAGTGTCATGCCATATACCAAGAGGCCACAGGTTCGATTCCCATTTAGGGCACATGCCCGGGTTGTGGGCTTGATCCCCATTAGGGGGCGTGCAAGAGGCAGCTGATCAATGATTCTATCTCATCATTGATGTTTCTATCTCTCTCTCCTTCTCCCTTCCTCTCTCTGAAGTAGGCAAAAACATATTTAAAAGAATAATTTTTTATTTTATTTTTTAAAATATATTTTATTGATTTTTTACAGAAAGGAGGAGAGAGGGATAGAGAGTCAGAAACGTCGATGAGAGAGAAACATCGACCAGCTGCCTCTTGCACACCCCCCACCGGGGATGTGCCTGCAACCAATGTACATTCCCTTGACCGGAATCGAACCTGGGACCTTTCAGCCCGCAGACCGACGCTCTACCACTGAGCCAAACTGGTTTCGGCAAGAATAATAATTTTTTAAAAATTGAGATGATTTTTGAAGGAATTAAGAAATACAAATTGGTGGTAACAAATAGTCACTGCATAAGGGATATAGTTAATAATATTGTACTAAGTATGCTTCCAGGGACGCCACTTGTAAAGTATATGATTGTATGCTTTATTTAGTATACTAATACAAAATATTGAAGGTAAACTGTAATTGAAAAATAAAAAATAAAATAAAAATAAGATCAAATTGAGACCATTTTGATATGCTGATCTTAAGACTCATGGTAAAGCCTAGCCTCCCTTTCTTTTTAAACTATTATTTTTTTAAATATATATTTTATTGATTTTACACAGAGAGAAAGTGAGAGGGATAGAGAGTTAGAAACGTCGATGAGAGAGATACATCGACCAGCTGCCTCTTGCACACCCCCCACTGGGTACATGCCCCCGACCGGAATCGAACCCGGGACCTTTCAGTCTGCAGGCCGACGCTCTATCCACTGAGCCAAACTGGTTTTGGCTTAAACTATTTTTTATTGTGGTAAAATATATTTAACGTAGTTTGCCATTTTAACCATAAAATTCAGTGGTATTAAGTGCATTCACTTTGTTGTACAACCAACCATCATTACTATCTATCTATCTATCTATCTATCTATCACCCCAAACAGAAACTCCCCATTGCATGCCCCCCCCTGCCCCACTGCCCCTGGTAACCAGCTCTCATGTGCTTTTGTCTATAGATGGCTCCTCTCCATCATGGAGGCAGAATCGCCTAACTGTGTGGCCTTCTGGGTCCAGCCTTTGTCATTCAGCATAGTGTTTGCGTTTCCTCCTTTTGTGACTGAGTAACGTTCCAGTGGAGGGAGAAGCCTCCCTGTGTTCGCCAGGCGCTGCTGACACACTGGCTGTCTCCACCCAGCGGCTCCCGTGAACGATGCCGCTGAGCACATCGTGAACAGGAATCTGAGCCCGAGCGGTTTGGCTCACTGGATAGAGCGTTGGCCCAGGGACGGAAGGCTCCTGGGCTTGTTCCGGTCAAGGGCATGTACCTTGGCTGCAGGCTCCCCAGCCCTGGTCGGGTATGTACAGGAGGCAACCAATTGAAGTTTCTCTCTGTCTCTTCCTCTCCCTTTTACTCTCTCTAAAAATCAATGGGAAAATACCCTGGAGTGAGGAATAACAACAACCTCAAAAAAAGAGGAGGAGAATGAGGAGAAGAAGGAAGAAGGAGGGAGGAGGAGGAGGAGGAGGAGAAGGAGGAAGAGGAGGAGGAGAGGAGGAGAAGGAGGAGGAGGAGGAGAAGGAGAAGGAGGAGCAGATGAGTCCCTGCCTTCAAATCTTTCAGCCCAGTGCCAGGAAGGGAATTGCTGGGTCTATGGAAAGTACACTGTTTGAGGAATCTACGCCACCTCTGAAAAGCCTGGGGCTTCACACAGCACAGTGCCAAGACTTTAGTGTATGGGGCAGGGGAGGGGCAGGGCAGGGGCAAGGGCAGGGGCAGGGGCAGAAGCAGGGCAGGGGTGGGGCAGAGGCAGGGGCAGGGATAGGGCAGGAGCAGGGCAGGGGCAGGGGCAGGGGCAGGGCAGGGGCAGGGGTGGGCAGGGCTGTGCCAGGGGCAGGGGGCAGGGAAGGGGCAGGGGCAGGGGCAGGGCAGGGGCAGGGCAGGGGCAGGAGCAGGGGCAGGGCAGGGGCAGGAGCAGGAGCAGGGCAGGGGCAGGGGCAGGGGCAGGGCAGGGGCAGGGGCAGGGGCAGGGCAGGGGCAGGGGCAGGGCAGGGGCAGGGGCAGGGGCAGGGCAGGGGCAGGGGCAGGGCAGGGGCAGGAGCAGGAGCAGGGCAGGGGCAGGGGCAGGGGCAGGGCAGGGGCAGGGGCAGGAGCAGGGCAGGGGCAGGGCAGGGGCAGGGCAGGGCAGGGGCAGGGGCAGGGGGCAGGGCCAGGGCAGGGGCAGGGGCAGGGGGCAGGGCTAGGGCAGGGGCAGGGGCAGGGCAGGGGCAGGAGCAGGGGCAGGGGCAGGAGCAGGGGCAGGGCAGGGGCAGGGGCAGGGGGCAGGGCCAGGGCAGGGGCAGGGGCAGGGCAGGGGCAGGAGCAGGGGCAGGGCAGGGGCAGCTTGACATGGAGCCCAGGCTCCTTACCTTGAGAGTTGGTGGCAGATTGAAGGCGTCGATCTCCTTGATCTCATTGGCGCTCAGGACCAGCTCTTCGAGCTTTGGGAACTTCAGGAGGTCTTTATCCACCAGGCTCACCTGGGGAGGAAGGGACGGAAGCTGAGCGCCCAGCTGGCGCAGAAACCTGTGGATGGAGGGTGACACCACTCAACCAGCTGCACAGCCCCTCCCAGCACCCGCCTCTGCTCCTGGAGCCTCTCCTGCCCTGCCAGGGCACAGGCGCCTCGGGCACCGGGGCGCCCTCCCCTCTGCCACCCTCACCTCCTCTGCCTGGGTGCCTGCAGCGTCCCGCTCAGTGCCCCGTGCCCCCTGTTGGACGGGGAGCTCAGAAGTCCATCTTCCTATGCACCTGGAGCCGCGGGAGCCCGAAGGCCTTTAGGAGTTTTCCCACAGCCGGCCGGAGCTGCGGGGCCTTCCTGGCGGGGCCTCTCCTCTGGGGTGACTGACCCGCCAGCCTGCCCAGGAGCGAGGGGTTCCAGGGACGTGAACATTTCTGCGTTCACGAGGGGCCAGGCCCAGGCGAACAGGCTGCTCTCCCTCCGCACCCCCCGCACCGGTCGCTCCGTCTCTCTGGGGAAGGAGCAGGCTGTGGGCTCCGTTATCGGTGATGCCAGCAGAGAAGGCTCTTTAGGGACAGGAATCACTATAGCACGGTGCCCCTCCCCTGGCCCTGGGCCCCACAGCTGGGATGAAGCAAAACCAATACAGACACTACGGGGACCCAGAAGGGCGGACTGCGGGGCACTCTGGAAATCACTGGGACCACAGGGGACCTCACCGGGGGAAGGAAAAGGCACAGAGCACGGAACAGGCGAGCAGCTGGCTCTGCTGGGTGGGCCAGCTGGTGAGATTTTTTAGAAGGCGGGCAGAGCTATCCCCCTCTCTCCCCGCTCCCCTTCCCTCCCCCCCCCTCCCCCTTCCCCTCCCCCTCCCCTCCTGGTCTTATCACTGAGTGCAGGAGGTGGTCTCCTCATGTCCCCTCTGTCCCCTCGGTGTGCCCGAGGCGGGCAGGTGCCAGCTGCCGGCACTCACCTTCTTGTCCACCACGTGGAGGGACCTGAAGTAGGAGTTCAGGAAGTCCTCTTTGAGCATCTGGGGGTTGCTGATGGCCAGCTGCCTCAGGAAGCGGTCCTCGGCGCTGGAGCCCTCCAGCAGGGCCCAGGGCGACTGGGGGCTGCAGACCAGGCCCAGCAGGTCCTCCACCGTCTCCTCCGAGGGGCCCCCTGCCTCCTCCTCTCTGGGGACCAGCTCCCGCCACACCCGACAAGTCCGGGGGAGGAATCGCGACTTGTTCTGTGGCCGTGGGGAGGGAGAAGGTCTCTCGTTATGACTCAGTCCTCTCAAGGATCCGAAACCCGAGAAACTGGACAGATTGTAAGACAGGACCGCCAGGGATAAAGAGTTTGGAAGTTTAGACAACGTGTCATGGACACTTTTGACTGCTCATCAGCCAAGGGACGGACGAGGGGAATTAAAATAACAACAAGAAGACCCATTCCCGCCTTTAGGAGTTGCTCTTGAGCTGGGACCCTGGGCCATGCAGGTAGAAGAGATGAAACACCTAAGGGAAGATTTACACCTGTCCTGGAAGCCAGGCGGTGCTGCAGGCCCCTGTGAGAAGTCCTGACTAACGCAGGGAAGGGGGCAAGGCTGGCGGTAAGTTCAGAACATTTAGGTGCCGGCAGGAGAAGGTGAACGAATTCGCCCCCGTTTTCCTTCCCACTCCTCCCCCAGGAGACGCTAGGAGACCCTATCGCTCAGTGCCAGGCCAGCCACACTGTAGGTGCTCCATGTTTGTGTAAAAGACGCCGACCCCCCTGGCGCTGACCAGTGTGTGGGGCCTCCTGGGCTCAGGAGCCTCCGTCCTCCGTCCTCCGGCCCTTCCGGCCCCCCCTCCCCCGGGCGTCCAGGGCCTCACAGCGGGTCCGCGTGCTGGCCCCCTCTCAGGACCGCTCTCCCCTCCCAAGGGCATGGGGGGCCTCAGGGGAGGGGGCGGCCTCGCCCACAGGGACACACACACACACACACACTCACACCGTGGTCCCTACAGCCACACACACACACACACACACACACTCACACCGTGGTCCCTACGGCCACACACACACACACACACACACACACACACACACACGCGGGCGCTGCCCTTCGCCCTGGGTCGGCTCCCACGGGCCCGGCCCCCACCCCAGGCCCCGGACGGCCGGTCCCGCCGCCCGCACCCAGCTGCCGGCGCCGCACGGGAACTCCCGCAGACACAGCTTCCGCAGGTGCTCCCGCACCGCGGCGCTCACGGTCCCCGCGCTCCGGTCCACACTCCCCGCCATCGCCGCGCGGACCCCGCGCCCTGCCGGTCGCTAAGCAACCGCCGGGACGCGCACGTGCTCCGGGCGGGCGGCGCAGGCGCAGGCGCCCTGGGACCCAGGACTCGCCCGGGGAGACCCCGGCTCAGGCCCGGCCACGGGGGTTTTCCCTCCCGACCCCGCCGGTGCTCCGGGCTGTGAACCCGGGGAAACAGGGACTGCGGCTCCCAGCAGCGCCCGCGCTGCCCGTACTGAGGCTTTCTCCTCCAGAGAAAAGTGCTCATCACCATCCCCACGGACAGACCTGGAAAGGAGAAATTAGCTCAGGGCCAATCTCAAGATTGTAACCAGGGGATTCCAATTAACTCCTGCCAAAACCGGTTTGGCTCAGTGGATAGAGCATCGGCCTGCGGACTGAAAGGTCCCAGGTTCGATTCCCGTCAAGGGCATGTACCTGGGTTGCGGGCACATCCCCAGTGGGGGCTGTGCAGGAGGCAGCTGATTGATGTTTCTCTCTCATCGATGTTTCTAACTCTCTATCCTTCTCCCTTCCTCTCTGTAAAAAAATCAATAAAATATAAAAAAAAAAAAAAAAAAAAAAAAAAAAAGAATCTCCTTAACTCCTAACTCAGGGGGTTTTAATCACCGCCTACATCCGTCACCGGTTCAGCATCCAGACCCCATTTCAGCCCCTAAAGGCCCAGATCCCACTTACCTCTCCATCCTCAAGCACAGAGCTCACTGCCGGTCACACAGTTTGTGACATCTGTGGGATAAGACGGCTCCGGTTCCTGTAACATGGAGACGCAGCGTCATTGATGGAGATACAATTGACATACCTGGAACTCGCTGCTCTAAAGTGTGCGCTTTAGGGTATTCACAGCGCAACTGTCGGTGTCATCTAACTTTCAGCATTTCCCTCGTCCCAAAAGGACCTCCCACACAGATCAGGCAACTGATCTCCATCCCCGTATGGACCCATTCCCCCCTCCCCCAAAACCACCACATTTTTCTGTCCCCGTGGGGTACTGGGCCACGATACGGGCAGAACACGTTTTGTTTGTCCTTTCGTCACCTGACCGACCTTCGCTTGTCTTCGCTTTCTGGCTCTGACGAATCGTGCTGCTATGAACACTCATGTCCCAGTTTCCGCGGGAATGCATGTTTTCATTTTTCTCGGAATGAATTCCTCTAGGAACGCAATTGATGGGTCTTGTGGTCCGGATTTGTGATTGGTAGATATTTTCTCCTCTTCTAGGCCTGTCTTTCCTTTCTCTCGACGGTGTCTCTGGAAAAGCAAAAACGTTTCATGTTGAGAAAGTCCCGTTTCCTGAGTGATCCTTCCCAAAACACCTGCTGGGGTGGCTACTCTCCTGTAGAAGAACCTTTGCTATTGTTAGAAAATTTCTCCCAAACAAGGAAAATAAATAATAAAATACACATCCAGGAGTCTGTTGCAATATAAATAAGGTGACCAGACGTCCCGCTTTTGGCGGGACAGTCCAGATTTTTAACCGTTTGTCCTGAGTCCCACGGCGTTTTAAAGTCCTGAAAATCGGGACTGTCCCGCCAAAAGCGGGACGTCTGGTCACCTTAAATATAGACCAATCAGAGAGATGAATCACAATGAACTCCCAGGATTTTGACAAAGCAACTGGTTGGTTTCACTTTTTTCTCACTTCTCAAACCACCACCACATGGCTTCCACCCACAACGGTGTGCTCAGACTCCCCAGTGACCTCACGTTCCCTGCCTAGCGACTCTCAGCCTTCATCTTCGCTGCCCTCTCCGCAGTGTATGGTGGGGCAGGTCACTTCCTCCTTCTTGAAAACCGCTTTCATCTTGTTCCATGACAACATGCTTCTCTTTCTCTCCAGAGCACCTTCTCCGTCTTCAGGGCTTAGTCACCTTCCTCTCCCTGTGCTGCTGATGGAGGGGCACCCCTGGCGCCACACCTGACTTATATCTTGTATTTTCTTTAGATTTTAAAATATATTTTATTGACTTCAGAGAGGAAGGGAGAGAGAGATAGAAACCTCAATGATGGGAGAGGATCGCTGATCGGCTGCCTCCTACATGCCCCACACTGGGGACCCAGCCCACAACCTCGCATCAAACCATGACCTCCTGCTTCATAGATCAATACTCAACCACTGAGCCATGCCGGCCGAGCATTTAAAAAAATATTTTTGAAAGATTTTTTTTTTTTTTTTGAGAGAGAGAGAGAGAGAGAGGAAGGGAGAGAGTGAAACATTGATGTGAGCAAAATATTGATCAGCTGCCTCCTGCAATGCCCCCCACCTAGGATCAAGCAGGCAACCCAGGCATGTGCCCTGATCAGGAATCAAACCTGCAACCCTTCACTGCATGGAATGATGCCCAACCAACTGAGCCACACCAACCGGGGCAATATTGGCTCTTGGTTGCTGCTGTAGAAAATGGGGTACACTTGGCAGCTTAAAACCACAAAGTTACTGCCTCACAGTTTCTGTCGGTCAGAAGTCCAGATGGTGTCACTGGGTTCCCTGCTCTGCATCTTATCAGGCTAAATTGACGTTATCAGCTGAGGCTGCAGTTCTCAGCTAGACTCACTAATCACTGGCCAAGTTCATTTTCTTCTCATGCTTTTTCCACTTGACTCCCTCCATCTTCAAGCCAGCAGTGGCAGTTGACTCTTTCTCATGCTTTCAGTCTCTCTGACTTTCTCTTCTGACTTCCTCTCTGTTTTTAAGGGCTCCTGTGACTACATTGGACCCACTTGGTAATCACCGAGTTTAAGATCAACTGATTAGTAACTGTAATTACATCTGCAAAGTCCTTTCTGCCATGTAATGTAACATAATTATGAGAGTAAATACCAGGGGGGTGAAAGTCATGGGGGCAAAATTCTGCTTACCATGGACTTTGCTAGAGGATTTTTAATAAATTCTTGGGGTGAAAACCATACTGTGGCAGTTTGTGAAGTGAGGTAAAAGCGAGCATAGATTGCTCTGCCAACAAGCTTGGATAAGAAGAGGAAAGAGACCAGGAGCAGTTGGAAGGAGGCTTGGGATTAAGGTGAAAGGGGGGTTGTAGCTGCATTTTCAGCTCATGGACTGCCCTGGCCTGACCTCTCAGTTCTGCACTCTGGACTCCAATCTACCTGCTGACTAGACATTGAATAGATTCCCATTGGGCATCTCAAACTTGACTCATTCCAAATAGAACTCTTGGTTTCCCCTCTCTGGTCTTCTTTTCCCTCGCTGCACATCAACCTATTGATATTGCCTTATCAATATTCCCAGAGTCATCCTTGATTCCTGTCTTCGATTCCTCTCCACATGACTCCATTCGCTAGCTCTGTAGACTCCATCTCCACCCGCTCTATCCTGGTCCAAGCTGCCCTCCTCACTCACCTGCACGGGTGCCGACCCTCCTAATGGGTCTCTCTGCTTCCACCTTGGATTCCCGCAAATCCGTTCTCCACTCAGCAGCCTATCTTTCTTCTCACTTCTTAAAGTAAGCCAGAGCCTGTATTTCCCTACCTACAGCCAATCAGTGGTGCATCACACGTAGAATGAAACCCAAGTTCTTTATCCTCATATGACCCTTGCAACTTGACCTCTGGACCCCCTCCCCCCCGTCTCTCACTTTGCTCCAGCTGCCACCAGCTGCTTCCTGTCCTTAGTCATAGCAAGCTCATTTCTGCTTGAGGACTTGCATGCGAGGGTCCCCCCTGTCGGCACTGCTTCCTCAGGTCTTCCCACAACAGGTCCTTCTCATCTGTCAGGTTTCGGCTCAGAGAGAGACTTTTCCTGGTCACCTGCCACTCTCTACCCCAACACCTCGATTCTTGTAGTTCTTGTGACCTGACGCTTTCTTGTTTATTAACGTTGTGCGCCTTGCCCATGAGAATGCCAGCTCCGTGAGGGCAGGGACCCTGTCGAACTTCTTTGCCACCATCCCTGAGACCCTAGAAGAGCGCCCGGTCGAAGGTGGCACTCGAACCACGCGTCAGTGATCTCAACAAATGACTCCCGAGCACGGATTCCGGCTCCTGGTCCCGCGCTTGCAGGGTCCAGTGATGTTCAAGGACGCACAGAAGGGAGATTCAGGCGTTGACAGGCCAGTCACAGTGGGTAGCAGGGCTGTCCCTGCACGCTGGCAGGGGCCTGCTTCAGAAATTCACAAAGATAATGCGCTTTGCAAGCACACTCCCACGCCACCCACACGCGCTCAGCTGGGACCCCCCCCCCCCAGAAATTCCCTGCGGACCGCTGGCCAGCATCTCCTGCGGCATCATGTTTCGTGGTGGTTGCGCCTGTCAGCCCTGGGCTTCAAAATTTCTTCTGGTCACATCTGCCCGCTCTTTCCAAGAAGACGTGGCAGAGATGCGTGTGTGCCTTCCTGTGTGTGCCTGCGCTGAGTCAGGCATCTGCCCACCTTGAGGGTAACCTCAGCATTTCCTTCCAGCCCTGCTTTCACTCAGCCTTGGGCGGCAAAATTTTGAAAGTGTTTTCTGGAGAAAAGCTGAGCAATAATCTTGCCAGGGGCGGAACATCGCTGGTCCTTCCTCGCGGCGGGCCCTTTATATACCACCCGGAGGCCATGGCGAGCACAGCAGCTCAGGCCGCCACCGCTGAAGCAGGCTCCGCTCCCTCTCGCCATGGCCTCCCGCACAGGTACCGGGACACGGACAGGAAGGCTCCGGAGGGGGCTCGGCGGGGGGAGAGGCTGGGTGGGCAGGGGCGCCTGGCCAGGGGGCTTCACGGCAGCATTCTCTCCTCAGGACCCGCCAGGGCCGCCCTGCTCCTGCTCTGCTGGATGGGAGCCTTGCTGTCCGTCCACACGGCTCCCGTCCCTGACGGTGACCTGAAGGAAATCATCATAGAACTAAGGGCCTCATCGGAGAGGCTTCTGGAAAGCTGCGTAAGTGCCCCCCCAGACTTCTTTCCTGAGCCGTTTCTGAAGACGCCTTTCCCTGCGCCCAGAAGTAGCTCTTTTCAGACCCGGGGCCAGGGCTGTGG